TGTTAAAGAGTAGAAGGTCATACTGATACCTCTAATTCAATCCAAGACCACTGGGTTCATTCTAGCCTTTGCTTTTTCTTGATTTGTAATTCTTTTTTACTGGCTCACATGATTTCCAATATATTTATTTATTTGCTCCATCCTAGATTACATACAAAGCAGTTTCAGAATTGCTAACCTGTTCTATGAAAAGCAAATTTAATGACTAGGGTACAACATTCATGTGGGTTTTTGGTTTTTTTTTTTTTTCCAAGCCTTAGAATACATAGTCAAAGTACTGTTTTTTTTAGACTTCATATTTATGGTCAAATGCTGCTTTTCAAAGTTAATTAATTCTAGAACAAGTATTTGTTAAAAAGAATACTTCTGAAACAGTGCTGTAAACTAAGATTCCAGTAAAGGGCTACAAAATTTGAAGAATCCCTAAAGAGAAAATGTAGATGGATGAGACTGCTAGTGGGAATCAGAGAGCACACACACAGGCATCACATATGACCTCTGGGGAGGTCAGCGTGCTGCCCGGGGAGTTAGAAACTCAAAGGCCATGCATTCATGGAGCTTGTTGGAGGTAGAGGCATCAGTGAGATGAATGGAATAATTTCATTTATAGCAGTGGCTCTTAACTTTGCCAATTAGAATCTTCCAAGGACTTAAAAATACTGATGCCTAAGTCTCACTCCCAGGTATCTGAATTAATTCATCGGGAGTTAAAGCATAGAAATCAGTAAATTCAATTGAATGTGTAGCCAGGATTGAGAGCCACTGCTTAAGAGCAACTGTGGCTATTGACTTTCTATACCTCCCTGGGTGCCGGCAATGGGCTGCAAATATGTCAGCTGACAGGTTGGAGTAATGAGTGAAGGCGCACTGTCGCTGCATCCCCAAGGAGCTAGGTATTTCCAAGAAAGACTGGGAGCCTCCCACACCCAGAAGACAAGTTACAGACACAGCACATCAGTGTCAGCCCAACAGTCACCATAGACAAGTGACTGTGATCGGAATTACTAACTACAGACAGATGACGTGGGATTCTCAAACAAAAAGACAAGCAGAAAGCCAAAAGGATTAAACAATTAAGAAAATCAACCCTACAAAAGAGAAGAGGCAAACTCAACACATATAAAGAAGAAACAGAATTAATACAACAAAAAGATGGTCTAAAAATAGGAAAAGACATCAGAGAGTTGAGAGATCTCACCCATGAAAAAGAAATAACCAAAAAGCATAGGTCTTAAAAGGGAAAAAATAATTGTCAAAGTAGAACACACGTAATTGTGGAAATAAAACTCTTAATTAGATGGACTGAGTAGCTAAATGAACACGGCTGGAGCAAATTCATGAGATGAAAAAGGATAGCAGGACAAAGAGATGAAAAGTAAGTATAAATGAAAAATTGCAGCATTTGGATAGATCCTGA